GGACGTTAGCTCAGAGATGGGAGTAATGATAGAGGTGAGCTCAGTGATGGGGTTGAGAATGGAGGTGAGCTCAGTGATGGAGGTGATGAGGAAGGTGAGCTCAGTGATGGGGTGATGATGGAGGTGAGCTCAGTGATGGAGGTGATGTGGAAGGTGAGCTCAGTGATGGGGATGATGAAGGAGGTGAGCTCAGTGATTGGGGTGATGAGGAAGGTGAGCTCAGTGATTGGGATGATGATGGAGGTGAGCTCAGTGATGGGGATGATGAAGGAGGTGAGCTCAGTGATGGGGGTGATGAGGAAGGTGAGCTCAGTGATGGGATGATGAGTGGAGGTTCGCTCAGTGATGGGGATGATGATGGAGGTTGAGCTCAGTGATGGGGTTGATGATGAGAAGGTGAGCTCAGTGATGAGGTGAGGGTGGAGGTTAGCTCAGTGATGGGGATGATGATGGAGGTGAGCTCAGTGATGGGTTTGATGATGGAGGTGAGCTCAGTGATGGGGTGGGATGGAGTTGAGCTCAGTGAGGGGGTGATGATGGCGGGTGAGCTTCAGTGATGGGTTTGATGGATGGAGGTGAGCTCCAGTGATGGGGTGTGTGATGGAGGGGTGAGCTCAGTGATGGGGATGATGAGGAAGGAGTGAGCTCAGTGATGAGGATGATGGTGGAGGTGAGCTCAGTCATGGGATGATGATGGAGGTGAGCTCAGTGATGGAAATGATGGAGGTGAGCTCAGTGATGGGGGTGATGATGGCGGTGAGCTCAGTGATGGGTTTGATGATGGAGGTGAGCTCAGTGATGGGGATGATGATGATGGAGGTGAGCTCAGTGATGGGAATGATGATGGAGGTGAGCTCAGTGATGGGATGATGATGGAGGTGAGCTCAGTGATGGGTTTGATGATGGAGGTGAGCTCAGTGATGGGGGTGATGATGGAGGTGAGCTCAGTGATGGGGATGATGATGGAGGTGAGCTCAGTGATGGGAGTAATGATGGAGGTGAGCTCAGTGATGGGGATGATGATGGAGGTGAGCTCAGTGATGGGATGATGATGGAAGTGAGCTCAGTGATGGGGTGATGATGGAGGTGAGCTCAGTGATGGGGTTGATGAGGAAGGTGAGCTCAGTGATGGGGATGATGGTGGAGGTGAGCTCAGTGATGGGGATGATGATGGAGGTCGAGCCTCAGTGATGGGATGATTGATGGAGGTGAGGCCTAGTGAATGATGGGGGTGATGATGGAGGTGAGCTCAGTGATTGGGAGTAATGATGGAGGTGATCTCAGTGATGGGAGTAATGATGGAGGGTAGCTCAGTGATGGGGATGATGATGGCGGTTATCTCAGTGATGGGTTGATGTTAGAGTGAGCTCAGTGATGCGGATAATGATGGAGGTGAGTTCAGTGATGTGGGTTGATAATGAGGTTGAGCTTCAGTGATGGGATATGATGGAGGTGAGCTAATTGATGGGGGTGATGATGGAGGTGAGCTCAGTGATGGGGGTGATGATGGAGGTGAGCTCAGTGATGGGATGATGATGGAGATGAGCTCAGTGATTGGGGTGATTATGGAGGTGAGCTCAGTGATGGGGGTGATGATGGAGTTGAGCTCAGTGATGGGATGATGATGGAGATGAGCTTACTGATTGGGGTGATTATGGAGGTGAGCTCAGTGATGGGGGTGATGATGGAGGTGAGCTCAGTGATGGGGATGATGATGGAGGTGAGCTCAGTGATGGGATGATGATGGAGGTGAGCTCAGTGATGGGGTGATGATGGAGGTGAGCTCAGTGATGGGGTTTATGAGGAAGGTGAGCTCAGTGATGGGGATGATGGTGGAGGTGTGCTCAGTGATGGGGATGATGATGGAGGTGAGCTCAGTGATGGGATGATGATGGAGGTGAGCTCAGTGATGGGGGTGATGATGGAGGTGAGCTCAGTGTTGGGAGTAATGATGGAGGTCAGCTCAGTGATGGGGATGATGATGGAGGTGAGCTCAGTGATGGGAGTAATGATGGAGGTGAGCTCAGTGATGGGGATGATGATGGAGGGAGCTCAGTGATGGATGATGATGGAGGTTGAAGCTCAGTGATGGGGTGGGGATGATGGTGGAGGTGAGCTCAGTGATGGGATGATGATGGAGGTGAGCTCAGTGATGGGGATGATGATGGAGGTGAGCTCAGTGATGGGATGATGATGGAGGTGAGCTCAGTGATGGGATGATGATGGAGGTGAGCTCAGTGATGGGGATGATGATGGGGGGTTAGCTCAGTGTGGGGATGATGATGGAGGTGAGCTCAGTGATGGGGGTGATGATGGAGGTGAGCTCAGTGATTGGGGATGATGATGGAGGTGAGCTCAGTGATTGGGTGATGATGGAGATGAGCTCAGTGATGGGAGTAATGATGGAGGTGAGCTCAGTGATGGGAGTAATGATGGAGGTGAGCTCAGTGATGGGAGTAATGATGAAGGTGAGCTCAGTGATGGGGATGATGATGGAGGTTAGCTCAGTGATGGGGATGATGAGGAGGTGAGCTCAGTGATGGGTGGATGATGATGGAGGTGAGCTCAGTGCTGGGGATAATGATGGAGGTGAGCTCAGTGATGTGGGTGATAATGAGGGATGATGGAGGTGAGCTCAGTGATGTGGGTGAGGATGGAGGTGAGCTCAGTGATGGGGGTGATGATGGAGGTGAGCTCAGTGATGGGATGATGATGGAGATGAGCTCAGTGATTGGGGTGATTATGGAGGTGAGCTCAGTGATGGGGGTGATGATGGAGTTGAGCTCAGTGATTGGATGATGATGGAGGTGAGCTCAGTGAGGGCGTGATGATGGAGGCGAGCTCAGTGATGGAGGTGATGAGGAAGGTGAGCTCAGTGATGGGATGATGATGGAGGTGAGCTCAGTGATGGGGGTGATGAAAGAGGTGAGCTCAGTGATGGGGGTGATGAGGAAGGTGAGCTCAGTGATGGGGTGATGATGGAGGTGAGCTCAGTGATGGGGGTGATGATGGAGGTGACCTCAGTGATAGGGTGATGATGGAGGTGAGCTCAGTGATGGGGGTGATGAGGAAGGTGAGCTCAGTGATGGGATGATGATGGAGATGAGCTCAGTGATGTGATGATGATGGAGGTGAGCTCAGTGATGGGGGTGATGAGGAAGGTGAGCTCAGTGATGGGATGATGATGGAGATGAGCTCAGTGATGGGGGTGATGATGGAGGTGAGCTCAGTGATGGGGGTGATGATGGAGGTGAGCTCAGTGACAGGGATGAAGATGTAGGTGAGCTCAGTGATGGGGGTGATGATGGAGGTTAGCTCAGAGATGGGAGTAATGATAGAGGTGAGCTCAGTGATGGGGTTGAGAATGGAGGTGAGCTCAGTGATGGAGGTGATGAGGAAGGTGAGCTCAGTGATGGGGTGATGATGGAGGTGAGCTCAGTGATGGAGGTGATGTGGAAGGTGAGCTCAGTTATGGGGATGATGAAGGAGGTGAGCTCAGTGATGGGGGTGATGAGGAAGGTGAGCTCAGTGATTGGGATGATGATGGAGGTGAGCTCAGTGATGGGGATGATGAAGGAGGTGAGCTCAGTGATTGGGGTGATGAGGAAGGTGAGCTCAGTGATTGGGATGATGATGGAGGTGCGCTCAGTGATGGGGATGATGAAGGAGGTGAGCTCAGTGATGGGGGTGATGAGGAAGGTGAGCTCAGTGATGAGGATGATGGTGGAGGTTAGCTCAGTGATGGGGATGATGATGGAGGTGAGCTCAGTGATGGGTTTGATGATGGAGGTGAGCTCAGTGATGGGGTGGTGATGGAGGTGAGCTCAGTGATGGGGGTGATGATGGCGGTGAGCTCAGTGATGGGTTTGATGATGGAGGTGAGCTCAGTGATGGGGTGGTGATGGAGGTGAGCTCAGTGATGGGGGTGATGAGGAAGGTGAGCTCAGTGATGAGGATGATGGTGGAGGTGAGCTCAGTCATGGGATGATGATGGAGGTGAGCTCAGTGATGGAGATGATTTAGGTGAGCTCAGTGATGGGGGTGATGATGGCGGTGAGCTCAGTGATGGGTTTGATGATGGAGGTGAGCTCAGTGATGGGGAGGATGATGGAGGTGAGCTCAGTGATGGGGATGATGATGGAGGTGAGCTCAGTGATGGGTTTGATGATGGAGGTGAGCTCAGTGATGGGGGTGATGATGGAGGTGAGCTCAGTGATGGGGTGATGATGGAGGTGAGCTCAGTAATGGGGTGATGATGGACGTGAGCTCAGTGATGGGGGTGATGAGGAAGGTGAGCTCAGTGACAGGATGATGATGGAGGTGAGCTCAGTGATGGGATGATGATGGAGGTGAGCTCAGTGATGGGTTTGATGATGGAGGTGAGCTCAGTGATGGGGTGATGATGGTGGTGAGCTTAGTGATGGGCGTGATGAGGAAGGTGAGCTCAGTGACGGGATGATGATGGAGATGAGCTCAGTGATGGGGGTGATGATGCCAGTGGAAATGGCCGATGCGTGTGTGTGGAGCTCCTCTCTGCGTCAGGCAGTTTTAAGCTCTAAATGCGTTAACTATTTTAATGTGGACAATAATCCTATGAGGCAGGTGCGCTTTTTGAAATTTGTTATACAGATGGGGAAACTGAGGTAGGTGGGAATGTTCTTAGCCTGCAGCCACCTTTACTGCCGGTGCTGACAGGGACAGAGGGCAGTGGTGGGGCTCCACCTGTGCTCAGACTAGGGTCCTGCTGATCTCCTTTATTTGCCTCTTCCCATGTGGCCTCGCTGCCAGGTCACCAGGTGTCAGGCCCCAGGCCCGAGTCCTCAGGGGCCAGCAGGTGCTCAGCACACATTACCGCCCCCAGAACACCTCTCCGGGACCCCTGTCTGCTGGCCTCCAAGCCAGGCCTGCTGGGAAGTCAGTGCCCCTCGCTCCCTCCCCACTGTCCATCCACATCCAGAAACTCCCCCTGCCCTGCCCCGTAGGGCAGTAGCTTGCTGTACCTTAAAAACGGGGTGCACAGCGGGCAGCTGGCGGTACATGGCGATGCCGAACACCTCGGACACCAGGTGCGTGCGCAGGAGGTGGGTGATGGTCTGGTGGATGTGGAAGTCACTGGAGCGCACCCAGATCTTGGCCAGAAGCCAGTCGTACTTTGAATCCGAAGGAAAGAAAATGGGGTTTTCGTCTCCTGGCACTTGGTTGAGCTGGTGCATGGAAGAGAGAAAATACACTTAACCTTCCATTCCAAACCATGGCTCCCAGGTAGCCCGGCCGGACGGGAAATTCCAGAGGAATCCGGATTCCTTTTTTAAATGAAATCTTTATTGTGAAAATATTCCGCATTTCTTTTTATTCCCCATTGGCCCCTTCTAGCGCGCTCCCTGCCCCCACCAAGGCTTTTCCACCCTATTGTCAATGTGCATGAGATGGGCACACAGTATACGCATACAGGTTCTTTGGTTGATCTCTTCCCACCCGCCTTCCCTCTGAGATTCCACAGTCTTTTCTATGCTTCTATACCTGTGAGTCTATTTTATTTACCAGTTTATTTTGTTCATTAGAGTCTACATGTGAGTGAGATCCTGTGATACTTGTCTTTCTCTGACTGGCTTATTTCTCTTAGCGTAATGCTCTCCAGGTCCCTCCATGCTGTCTCACAGGGTAAGAGATCCTTCTTCTTTACTGCTGCATAGTGTTCCATGGTGTGTATGTACCACAGCTTTATATCCACTCCTCTGCTGATGGGCACCTGGGCTGTTTCCAGGTCATAGCTGTTACAAATTGCGCTGCTGTGAACATTGGGATACGTACACTCTTTCTGATTGGATTTCTTAAATAGGGACTTTGGAGTTCTGGGAAGATCTCGGGGGAGAGCAGGTGGGCCAGGGGCCTCTGTTTCCCATCCCAGCTACATCGCTCAATACCCAGGGACCCGGGGCAATGTTAAATCACAGTATCAGCATTCCTGTGTTTTTGTTGTTTTCACTTTTACTGAATTTATTGGGGTCGCATTGGTTAATAAAATTATGTAGGTTTCGGGTGTACAATTCTACAATGCAGCATCTGTACATTGTCCTGTGTTCACCACCCCAAGTCAAGCCTCCTTCCAGCACCCTTTACCCTCTGCTCCCTCCCTTCACCCCTTCCCTCTGCTAATCACCATCTGTTGTCTGTGTCTATAAATTGTTGATTTTTGCTTACTTCTTTCATCTTTTTCACTCAACTCCCTCCCGTCTGTCAGTCTGTCCTCTGTATCTATTTCCGTTAGTTTAACTAATTTGTTCATTAAGCATTCATCTTTCTGATTTTAATGGAAATGGCCTTAGAATTGCCATTTTTGAATATTTCCTGACTTCATCATATGGAGGTAATTTCTATTATTATTTTAATTTTCACGAGTTGTGTTATTACATTTCGGTTTCAGTTGGTACAACCAGAATGTTTTCCGTATCGGCGTGGTGCATTGGGCTGATACAGAGGCACCTGGAATAAACTCGCTTGGTGTGACACACTGCTGCGTTTGCTCTTCATCGTTAGCATGAAACACGGTGGTCAGCGCCTCTGAAACCTGCACCTGTCACTGGGTGCCCGGGGCCCTCCTGGAGCCTGCCCGGGGCAGCAGGCCTGGCCAGCCCCGCAGTGTGACCCGGGGCCACGTGCCCTCTAACGGCGCCCGCAACACAGCGCTCATCTCAGAGCCTCGCGCCAGTCGTTTAACCAGCTTTCCAAATGCTCAGCTGGAGGTTGGCTTATTTCCTACAATTCTTCTAGTAATTTGTGTTTCGCTTGGTTTTTATCCATTTCCTCTGGGTTTTCAAGTTTGTTGCCACATTATTACTCTTCTAAAAAACCTATGATCGTCTTTCTCTTCTTTCCAGTCTTGTATGTTTTTGCTCTTTCTGTTCTTTCATTGCCTCGTGAGGGGCTTTGTTCAGAACCAGACTTCGAATGTACTGCTCTCTGCCTTCATTTGCATGTTCTTTATAATTCGCAAAGTCCCCATCGTCAGGAGCAGGAAGAGATTCAGGAACATCCCGTGACTTGCCCAAGGTCCACGGCCTGTAAGCACGTGGCAGAGCTGGGCCTGGGGCACCGGCTGTGTCAGGGCGCACCAGTGGGGTGGCCCCTCCTTGCTCTCCTCGCTGCCGACTCCTCTGACATACCTCCCTCACCCCGTGCACAGGGCCTCTCTCTGGTGCCGGCGGGAACCTGCCTGCAGGAAACGTGCCCTGGGACTGGGGACAGGGGAGCACTGACTTGAAGCCAGAGGCCTGGTGTGAGTCCCAGATTTGCTACTGACTGGGCGCACCTGTGCCTCAGTTTCCCTCTCTGTGGTGAACGGTCATCTATCTTGCAGGGCTGTAGCGATGATTACATGACTAGAGGCAGGTCCTTCCTGGAACCCCTGGTGACTAAATGTCTCAGCACACAGGATTTTTAAGACTTTAGCAATGTGCATACTTCATTGTGTGACGCCTCTTTCTCCCACCCAGGTGTGGGTAACATATATTTTACAATCAAATATATTAGTACTAGAGGCCCAGTGCACAAAATTCATGCACGGGAGTGGGGTGGGCTAGACTGACAATTGGACATCTCTCTCACAATCTGGGACTGCTGGCTTCTAATTTAATTTAAAAAAGGAGTCCAGATTCCTTTGTTCTGAACAAAGCCCCCTCACGAGGCCAATGAAAGAACTCACCTGCCTGCCAGCCTGATCACCCCTAAATGCCCTCCCTTGTTGGCCTGATCACCCCTAACTGCCCTCTCCTGACAGCCTGATTGCTCCTAACTGCTCTCCCCTGATGGCCTGATCACCCCTAACCACCTCAGCCTTGGCCCCCCACCACCATGGCTTTGTCTGGAAGGATGTCCAGAAGATGTCTGGTCTAATTAGCATATTAGCCTTTTATTAGTGTAGATTCCTGCAATGACATGAATTTCACATTGAAAGAGAAAAAGCTTTTAATTGGTTCAGAGTGAGTTTTGCTACCAATAAATTTGCTGCCAATTTTTGAAAAACTTAGCAGGGTTAGAACTTTTTAGATTTCAGGATTGAGGATAAGGGATTGTGGGTTGCATGGGAACGCTTAGGGGCAGTCTTGGTTTGTGGTTAGCACCAGGCCAAATTGGTGGCTATGATGTCTCTAGCACCAATGTCTGGCTTGGGGTTGGCTCAAAGTGCTGTTTGCTGAATGCTTGTCCACCATGGGCCCCTGGCAGCCCACCCCAGGACCTCTGCCAGGTCCCACCTGCTTCCTGCTGTCTGGACACCAGCTTCCGTGGAGTCACAGATCCCGGTGCTGAGAGAGGCAGAGGGCAGCCGGGAAGGGGAGAGATGAAACTCTGTCCCACCCACCTCCCCCCAGAAGCTCCAGGGCACGCATGGCTCCTGGCCCAGGCTCAGGCTGCCTCCCGGGCTCAGTGCCCGCTCACTCATGCTTCCCCTGCCTGGCCCTGCTGATTGTGATTTGGGGCTCCTGCTCAGTGCTCGCTCAGTGCCCGCTCAGTGCCTGCCTGGCCCTGCTGATTGTGATTTGGGGCTCCTGCTCAGTGCTCGCTCAGTGCCCGCTCAGTGCCTGCCTGGCCCTGCTGATTGTGATTTGGGGCTCCTGCCCCGGGTGGGGGTGAAGTGGGTTATCCCAGGGCAGGTCCTCTCAGACAGCTCATCTTGCCAGGAACTTCTCAAGTGGGTCTTGGGGAGCGGAGCCCTCCCTGCCCTGTGGACAGCGCTCCGCACGCCTGGCAGGAAGCCCTGGTCCTCGTTCCCGCCTGCCTGCAGAGCTTCCTGCCTCCCCCTCAGGAGCGCAGGTGGAGCTGTCCCTCCTCCTGGAGGTTCAGTGAGCCGCCCTGCGCCCTGTGTGCGAGGGGAAGCCAGGAAAGGAGGGGCCGAGCCTACCTGGATGGCGATGGGGACCATCTTGTTGACCAGGTTCTTGTACAGCAGGCAGATGGGAGCGGCCAGGAACTGCAGCGTGCAGGGGTCTGTTTTGTTGGCATCGATGCCGTCCAGCAGCTCAAAGTCCACGATGAAGATGTTCCCTTGCTGCGGGGAGCGAGAGGAAATGGGTCCAAATCAGTGTCAGGCGGAGACGGGCCCTGGAATGCGGCCGGCGGGAGGGACGCAGCTCGGGAGGCCCCTCGCCCAGCGGAGCGCAGGGGTGTGGTTCTGTGCCCCGCTCAGAGGCTGGCCCAGCCAGGGGCCCGGGCTGCAGAGGCTTCCTCACAGGGCGAGGGAGGGCAGTGCCGCCTGCGTTTGCTGTACGCAGTCTCCTGCTCCTTGAGGAAGACGCGGAAAGGCCACTGGGGGGGGGGGGGGGGGACGACGACAGTGTGATAAGAAGAAAGCAGATAGTGTTTAGATGAAATCGAATAGCCGAGTGTCCCTGTAGGATTCCAAATACATCAAGTTCAAAACCAGGCCAACCACTGTCAGCCACCCTCGGGAGAGCAGGAGAGGGGGCGTGTCTTTGGGGTGGGAGGCTCTGCAGGGGGGTCTGCAGGGGTGGGGTCTACAGAGGCAGGTAGGGGTCTGCGGGGTCAACACAGGGCCTGTGGCTGGGGTGCGCTCCTGGGGCCGGAGGAGCTGCAGGATCTGGGGGTCTGCAGGAGTGGGGGTCTCAGTGACCTGTCCGAGCTGGTGGCACGGTGGGAAGGGCCACGTGGCGTGAGTTCACTGACTGGCCTTTGTACCCCACTGGCACGGCCAAGGGTGACCCTGAGTGGGGGTGGTGAAAGGCTTAGAAAAGACAGAGTGAAGGCTGGGTCTCGGTGGGACGCTGCTCCCTGAGAGACAGCTCACACCCCCCCACACACACACTCATACACACACAAACATACATATACACATACATACATACACACACACACACACACAAGCCATGTCTTTATTTTATAGCAGATGCCACGAGGCAAAGTGAGGGCGCGGTCAAGATGTTTACAACATTCTCGTGGGTTTCAATCCAACTCAACCACATGCAGCTGAACTCTATGAAGCCCACATCACTCAGGCATGTGGGGCCACGTGTCCGGACCTTAGGTTTACGTTTACAACTACAGCTGTTGGCTGCCACTGGGCTGGGAGGCTCTGCCCTCCAGGCCGGGACTTGCACGTGGCCATGAGAGGACTGTGCCCTCTCATTAGTCCGAGGCTTGAAACTGTCCAAACACTGTAGCCACGCCCCACAGGCCGGCATTCCTAACGGGCACCCTTTCTGTAGTTTCTCCCTTCTCTGCCGAACAAGTGTGCCTGGATCTGGGGGAAGCAGAACACTGCCCTCCCAGACTCCGCCGAGTCCGTCCCCCGCCCCCCAGTGTCCCGGCTTCCTTAGCACGGTGGGCCAGCCAGGCCAGAACTGGGATTTTGGGGGGGGAGGGGGCAAGCAGCTCTTCTTAAGCCTTCCTTGTGTGTGCGTGTGTGTGTGCGTGTGCGTGTGTGTGTGCGTGTGTGTGTGTGTGTGTGCTTTTGCATCTGCATGTGTGTGTGTTTCAGGTGTACAGCATAGTGTGTAGACATTGGTGTAACTTACGACGTGATCCTGGGATAAGTCTAGACCCGCCTGACACCATAGCTACTGCAATAGTATTGGCGACATGCCCTGTGCTGCACCTCACACCCCAGACTGTCCTGTACTGGCCTCTCGTTTCCAGTGAGTGAGGAGAGGGCAACGGGGGAAGGCTCAGGTGGACGGGAGCTTAGAGGAGCTGCGTGTGCACAACTCCGCCCACAGAGGTCGCAGTGGCCACTGCACTCTGGCTGAGGGGCACCCGGACCCGGGAGCTCAGAGCCCAGCTACCATCCTCCTCCTCCTCTGTGAACGAGAAGGCCCCACGGTCGCGTGGCACCAGCGATGAGCTCTGAGCACCGGCTGCCATGCGTGCAGGGCAGGAGTGGGACAGGGTCGGAGGTGGCGGGGCCTGCCTGCCCTGGGAGGCCTTTCCTGGGGGGCATCTGGGAAGCAGCCCTCCAGAGGCAGGTGGGAGGGGGGCTGGCAGATCCGTCCACAGGTGGTGCTAACCATCCCTCTTTGCCCGGGGCCCCAAGGCGAGCTAAGCAAGCAGATGGGTGACTGCACGCAGCAGAGGGGGCCACTCCTGGGGCTCAGTCCCCAGCAAGAAAGGTGCTGACGCTGAGTCCCGCCAGACCCACCATGGATGTGAGACTGTCTGTCTTGGAACTGAAGAGGGTGGACCTCGGGTGAAGGCTGGGACAAGAGCAGAGGTGGGGGGGGGGGGAGAAGCATGGGGGGCGGCCAAGGGCAGAAGCAGATGACACCAACATTTCAAATTAGAAAGTCAAACGTTTCATGCTTTCTTCTTTGTTTTGTTCTGCTGCAGGTTGTTCCTTTTACCAGTTCTCTCACCTTTGCAATTGGGTAACAATGTGATGCCTGGCCCTTTACGGGCTCAAGTCAGAGAAAGCTCTGAACTGTTGATATTGACACTGAAAATATTGACATTATGTTCCTAGGCTACAGAATAGGAGAAAGTGTTTGCAAATATATATATATATCTGATGAGGGCTTAACGCACAAAATACACAAGGAGCTCCTACCACCAAGCATCACGGAGTCCCATCCCGTCAGTTCCTCATCCAGCGCTGGACCAGGCGGACCCATGGGCGCCCAGGGGAAGGAAGCAGCTGCTCCGGGCGGCTCTCCCCCTTCCCCAGCAGCGGAACCTGAGGGCGATGGCCTCAGGCCCCCGGCGCTGCTCAGCAGGAAGTGGTTTCTGTCAGACAGTATGAGCTGGGCCTCTGGCCTGGGCCCAGTCTGCAGCCAGCGAGGTCCTACCTCGACCTCCTGCTCCAGGGTGAGCTGCCGCTCCAGGCTGCACTCCACCATCTCCGTGGTCACCGGCAACTTCGCGGGCAGCTCGGTGCAGCGCCGGATCAGCACGGGGTTGCAGCCGTTCAGGAACTGGTAGCCGAACATGAGGTCCTCCTGCCAGTGGTTCATGACCCGCTCTGCGGAGGAGAGATTAGGTCCTGCACCGCCCGAGGGCTCCTCTCCCAGGTCCCCTCTCCCGGCACCAGAGCTGGCTGGCCCCGGGCTGCGTGCCCGCCCCCTGCCCATCACTGGGTCAGGCCGTGGCATCTCCCCTCCTCGAGCTGGCCCTCAGAAGTTCCCTGGGCACCCTTTTCTTGAGTACAGAAATAAAAACAGGCTATTGCGATTGCATTAACCCAAAACACTGCACAGCAGTGGAAACAGGAGCGCGTAAGGCAGGCTACAGAGTGGGAGAAAGTGTTTGATATGGTGAGGGGTTAATGTACAAAATACACAAGGAGCTCCTACAACTCAACAAAAGGAGACTAATAGCTCATTTAAAAACGGGCAAAGGGCTGAAACCGATTTGGCTCATTGGATGGAGTGTTGGCCTGTGGACTGAAAGGTCCCGGGTTCGATTCCGGTCAAGGGCATGTACTTTGGTTGCGGGCAAATCCCTAGTAGGGGGTGTGCAGGAGGCAGCTGATCGATGATTCTCTCTCATCAATGTTTCTAACTCTCTATCCCTCTCCCTTCCTCTCTGTAAGAAAATCAATAAAATATATTTAGGGGAAAAAATGGGGGAAGGACTTGAACAGACATTTCTCCAAAGAGGACATACAAATGGCTAGCAAGTGTATGAAGAAATGCTCAGTGACTAGACCCTCAGGGGATGAAAACAGCCTCACCCCTGTCAGGACGTCTCACACAAAACGGAGCCAAACCAGAAGCAGCAGAGAGCACGTGGAGACCGGAGCCCTCTCACTGTTGGGGGAACACCGAGGTGCCCTGCAGAGAACGCGGCCCAGGGCAGGGGGCAGCCCGGGCGAGGGGAGGCCTGGGAGCCGGGCGGGCGGCCCTCCCTCTGCCCAGCACCACGGGAGCACCCCGGGCACACTCACCAGAAATGGTGTTGCTGATCTTGACGAAGATCTTCTCGAAGTCAGCGAAGTCGCTCCAGGACGACTGGAACATGTGCATGAAGCGGTTGATGAAGAGGTTCTCCATCCTGCACGAGGGCACAGCGTCACCCACAGCGTCACCCACAGCGTCACCCTCAGCGTCACCCACAGCGTCACCTACAGTGTCACCCACAGTGTCACCCACAGCGTCACCCACAGCGTCACCCTCAGCATCACCCACAGCGTCACCCACAGCGTCACCCTCAGCGTCACCCTCAGCGTCACCCATAGCATCGCCGTGAGGCTGCCCTCCCCATGCAGCCCTCACCCTGGCCTCCCGCTGGGCAGCGGGGACGCATGCCCAGGGCAGCTCCTGTGGGGATCTCCTTGCAGAACAGAAACTGGCACCCCTGCCCGATACTCTCCCTCCTGCACCTCCCCAGTGAGAACTTGGCTGCCTGCCATGGAGGACAGTGTGCGGCCCTCCGACACTGTGTGTGCGTGCTTCCGTCCACGTGGGCATGCTTCCATCCACGTGCATACCTTCATTCACTCTCTGTGCAAGCTTCCAGGGACAGAGGCCAAACTGCCTGAGCAGCTGCTCTACCGAGTCTCCTGGGTCTCGGAGGGATTAGCGGTGCGGGTGAGTCTAAGCCTTGTTCACTTTCTACTGAAGCCTGGCTCCGGCCTGGTGCCAAGGAGGACACCATCTCCTGGCGCTCATTACACAGGACCCGCGCTGGATGAATGAAAACTGCAGGCCGTAGGCAATGAGGAGCAAGCTCGGAGCCATCCCAGGGGCTCCTGGAGGAGGCAGGTGTGGGGTGGGCTGGGAGAAGGGAGAGGGAGGGCGGAGTTTCCCCGCAGAATCCCAGGAGGCAGTGCGGAGGGGTGGGAGACCTGCCCGATGCTCACGGTGACACGCCTGCCTCAGTTTCTCTCTCTGGCACGCACATGGCTGAGAGTAACGAGCTGGTACCCATTCCTTCCCTCCTCGCATGCCCTGTGTTTTGTGCGTCCTGACTCAAGCAAGGGCTTTGCACGTGTGGTTTGCCCTGCAGCACCCTGCGCCCCTCTTTCGGCTCCTGAGCATATGGGGTGAGTATGCCCTGGAGGCTCCCCCAGCGTGCCCCTCCTCCTCCTTCAGGCTCACGGAAGCTGCCCCTTCCCCAAACCAGGTTGGCTCTGTGACGCTCTCGGCAGCAGGAAGGAGGTTACATGCACACGCACCTGTGTGACGCCTGCTGCCTCAGCGAAAGGCGGGTCTGCATGGCTCAGCGCCGAGCCCGGGCCCTGGCACTGAGGGGCCCAGGCAGCACTGAGCACGGTCTGAGGGGGTGACAAAAGCTGGGGCCATGGGACATGCCAGCGGTGCTCCTCCAGTGGCACCCCTCCCCCCTCCCCCAGGAGAGCCGAGCAGAGCCAGTAACCCCCCGGGAAGCAGCCCTGGCTGGGGAGGGCCCGGCACTGTCTCCCAGGGAAGCGGCGGTCTGTCTGAGCATCGTCAGGGGAAGGTGTGCGAGTCCGGAGCCGCCTCAGGCTCTCCCTGACCAGCTGGGGAAAGGACTGGAGTTTGGGTGTTTTGTCAGCATGAACCTGGCTTGCAGACTCCCGTTCTGGATCTGCCTCAGTTCAGCAAATGCCTTTCCTTTGGCCTGATTGCCTGGAACCCCCAGGAGCCACGCTGCTCAGGAGAGGGGCCTGGGCCACAAGGCTGGGACCTCTGGGAGCCTCCGTCCTCCTCAGGCTGCCTGCGGCTTACTGTGACCTGCGATGCCCAGGGTGCTGGAGCACAGGGGCAGCGGCGGCCACACACACGGGGCTCAGCATCTGGAAGCTGGGGAGTAAGGCGGGCGGCATCCTTCGGTCCATGGCTGGAATCATTATCCTTTATCCCCGCCCCTCCCAGGCCAGGAAGAGCTCTCAACCCATGCTTGGCACACACCCATTCTGTTCGACACCCATTTGTCCTACACCCAGACTTGTCCTACACTAAGGTGAACAGACGTCCCGATTTTTAACAATTTGTTCCACATCCCGCGGTGTTTTAAAAAAGTCCTGATTTTTGCGGGACGCGGGACAAATTGATAAAAAGCAGGACGTCTGGTCACCTTATCCTACACCCATGCTTGTCCTATACCCATGCTTGTCCGACACTCATGCCTGTCTGATACCCATGCTTGTTGCAGCCTCCACTCCAGTAGGCAGGCTGCTGAGGCCCAAGAGTGCTATTTACCTCTTCCCTCTCCATCTGCCAGCTTCCTTGTTAGTTAATCTCTGGGTACAGGAGCCCTTGTTAAACTAGAGGAAAACATCTCACCTGGCAGCTGAGTGTGGAAAGGACTCATTTATCAGGAGAGGCCTTTCCAAGTCCTACGGTCCCCCCAGCCCTGAGGTTGTCCTGGTGGCAGACGGCGTCCGGGAAGGGGAGCGGGGAGGGAGTCACAGTCCACAGCCGGTCCTCCCCCACCGGGTGGTCATGGCCTCTCCAGCTGGGTCTCTGAACTTGGCGCAGGGTGGGTGCGGCAGTGCTCAGATCCAGGAAGAAGCGGAGTTAGGAGGAACACATTTGCATGGCCCACAGAGATAACCCTCTATGTCCTTAGAGACAACTTGGACACAGGGACTTAAAGATCTGTTATTGTAAAGAGGAGGCTGTGCCAGGAGAGGGCACCCAGCTTGTTCGAGGTCACGACGCCGGGTGATACCAGGCCAGGCCAGGGCACAGCCACATGGACGTCTGCAGCAAGCTGCCGGCCCTGCCTGCGAGACGCAGGAGCTCTTGTTTCCTCTCCTTCCCTGCTTCTTCCCTCCCAACAGCATCTTCGTTTTCCGTTTCCTTTTGCGGTTTTGGGGAGAGGGGTGCCAGGGCACAAAGCTTCCTGAGGAAGGCTGGCCCTGACCTGGCAGAACAGGGGGCTGGGAGGAAATGGGTCGTTACAGTCACTCAGAGAGCCACAGAAACCGGCCGCCCAGGGGCACAGGCCACTGTGGAAAGCCCTCTGGTGACGTCAGCCGAGAGTTCCCGTTCTGCAGAGGCAGGACTGCGCTGAGCCTTAGGCAGGTGACACTGCGATGGCATAAGCCTCAGGGACACAGAGCAGGCCCTGGGTGTGTGGATTCTATCAGAAACCTTCGGTACAGCCCTAACTGTTTGGCTCAGTGGATAGAGCATTGGCCTGTGGACTCAAGGGTCCCGGGTTCGATTCTGGTCAAGGGCATGTACCTTGGCTGCAGCACATCCCCAGTGGGGGCTGTGCAGAAGGCAGCTGATCAATGTTTCTAACTCTCTATCCCTCTCCCTTCTTCCCGGTAAAAACATCAACAAAACATACTTAAAGAAAAGAAAAGAAACCTTCAGTGCAGAGTAGGCTGCCAGGCACGGGTTTGATGCCCTTTCCCCATCAGACCGTTAGGGGGGTTAGCCAAATGGTCTTGGGGCTCCCAACCCATGTCCTGGGGTCTGGACAAAAGAACCCTAGATGGAACCCCAAGTCCCCATCCCAGAGCACCAGAACTGAGAGAGGTGCCCGTATTACATCTGGCTGTGAAAAGCAGCAGGGCTGTTGTCTGCTAGAGAGAGACAGCTGGAAATTCAGATACCCTCTTAAAGGGCCAACACACAAAATTTTGAGTGCAGCCACTCATCTCAGGCTCCATCAGAGGGAGGGCAGAATGGATGGGAGTTGTGTGAGCAGAAGCCAGGCAGGGGGTTCTGGAATTGGGGCTCAGAGGGCAGCCACCCCGGGTTCCTGTGCTGAATCATTCCCTCAAGCAGCAGAGGACACCCCACTCCTCCTCCTCCTCCTCCTCCTCCTCCTCCTTCTTCTTCTTCTTTTAAAATATATTTTATTGATTTTTTACAGAGAGGAAGGGAGAGGTATAGAGAGTTAGAAACATCGATGAGAGAGAAGCATCGATCAGCTGCCTCCTGCACACTCCCCATGGGGATGTGGCTGCAACCAAGGTACATGCCCTTGACCAGAATCGAACCTGGGACCTTTCAGTCTGCAGGCTGATGTTTTACCCACTGAGCCAAACCGGTTAGGGCCCCTTGCTTCTTGACACTGACATGCAGAATGCTGAGCCCGTGGGCCTGGACCTGCTTCAGACCCCCATGGTCCTGACCTCCACCACACTCCCCTGCTAATGGTTGGGCTCCTGCACCCTGCTTACAGCTCCAGCCCCGCAGGCCCCAGTCCCGCCCTCCGCTGTGGGCTGACACAGCCTTGTCTGGGGCCAGGAGTCTTCCGGTTGTAACTGTTCATGTAACCCTGTGACTGGGCTGAGAACCCGCACTACGGCCAAGCTTCCATCAGAAGCAGTGGGAAGGAGGCCGGCTGAGCTGCTCCCCAGCCCCTGCAGCCCTGGCCAGCGGAGGAGCTGCCAGTGCCCTGAGCCCGCCCGGACTTACGCTTTCGAGTAGTTCAGAACGAAGTCCACGCCCTTCTCACTGTCGAACTGGATGTCACGAGGCAAGTCCCGGTGGCACTTGGCGTCGATGCTCAAGGGGAACCCAGGGTTCCATTCCATCCACCTGGAGGGTGAAAGGAGGAGAACGCTCAGCGAAGAGCCTCAGCACGAAGGCTGCCCTGGGCAGTCGGACATCCCTCAAGGGGTCCCAGACTAGAGAGGCTGCGGGCGGGGCTGAGGGACAGCCCCCCAACCCATGCACAAATTTTGTGCACCCAGCCTCTAGTTCTCTATAATAAAAGACTAATATGCAAATCGACTGAAGGGCAGAACGACAGGGTGCTATGATGCACACTAACCACCAGGGTGCATAATACCCTGTCTCCCCAAAAATAAGACAGTGTCTTATATTAATTTTTTCTCCCAAAGTTGCGCTAGGTCTTATTTTCAGGGGATGTCTTATTTTTCCATGCGCTAGGTCTTATTTTCGGAGGATGTCTTATTTTCGGGGAAACACCGGAAGCAGATGCTCAGCACAGGAGCTGCCCCCAGTGCCCTCCCACAAGGGAAGTGCCACTCTGCCAGAAGCTGGGCTCACAGCTGGCGAGCTCAGTGGCAGTGGCAGGAGCCTCTCCGGCCTCCATGGCAGAGCTAAAAATGTCCAACTGCCAGCTGAGCCCACGCCCCATGTCAGCCAGACATCCCCTGAGGGCTCCGGGAGAGGGTGCAGGCCAGGCGGAGGGAGCCCTCCCCCGCAATGCATCAGGCTTCTAGTGGAAAAGAAGGGACAAAAATCATCATTGGAGTAATATGATTAAATAACTAGATAACTAAAGAGACTTATTAAAATGATGGCTGCCAATAGAAGAGTTTAGTAAGGTGTCAATAAAGGTAAATATTTAAAAACGAGTAATTTATCCTTATGCAGCAATACTTATTTACAAACAGAAAAACAGTGCACTCAGAACGGTGCAAGCTATAGTTTCCTGGCTACAAAGAAACTTGAAAGGAGAAAGGAGAAAGGACTGCATGATGAAAACTGGAAATTGTGTTGAAGGACATCGCAGGAGATCTCTCGGGTGGAAGGACACACTGAGTCCTGGGTGGGCAGATGGACTGTCACTAAAATGCTGGCACATGACAATCTGTATGTAACCCAGAGAGTCTCCATCATAAAACCTTTTAAGAAACATGAAATAGCACAGCAGCTAGTAACATATATTAGATATGAGACTAAGAAAATGATGCTGGGCTATGGCATAAAAAAAATAAAAATAAAGTAACACACAAGTCCAGAAGCAGACCCAAGACAATATGTGACTCTAATACCGACATAGCTAATACTTACTGAGTGTTTTCTATGTGCCGCCTACCATTTCTATGTGTTTTCATGGTTTAACCTATTTAATTCTCTCAAAAACCCTACGAGGCAGGACTGTTACTTTGTCCATTTCACAGACTGTGGGGATTGAGCCACAGAGAAATTCAACAACTTTCACAGGCCACGAGGTCAGTGGCTACAGGCGGGGCTGAGCCCAGGAACTGGCCGCTGTGGTGTGGCCCAGGGCAGCAGGGAGGGAAGTATTAGGTAATAAATGATACTGGAGACCTCTGGCCCCTGCTTCACACCAATGTGAAAATACATGGCAGGTGAAAAGAAGGCCTACAATAGTGAGAACCTATAACCAAGATTACTGTACCCAGAAAAGTTACCATTCACAATTGAAGGGCAGATGAAGAGCTCCACAGATAAGAAAAAGCTAAAGGAGTTCATCACCACCAAACCAGTATTATATGAAATGCTGAAAGGTATTATTTATGAAGAGGAAGAAGAAAAAAGTAAAGATAAAAATTATGATCGACAAATACATATCTATCAACAAATGAATCTAAAAGTCAAGAGAATTAAAAATCTGAGGAACAGAATACCTGGTGAATATAATAGAATCAGGGGCAAAGAAAGGGAGGGGATTGATAATTATCAGGGGGAAATGGGTGTGGGGGTGCAGGAAGAGACTGGATTAAAATCGTACACCTTTGGATGAGGACAATGGGGGGGTAAGGGCAGAGGGTGGGGTGGGAACAGGGTGGAAGGGAGCTATTGGGGGGGGGGGGAAAAGAAGAAACAATTGAAATAATCTGAGCAATAAAGATTTATTAAATTTGAAAATAAATAAAGGCCTACAGTCAAAAAACAACACAATATTGTAAAAGTATTAGACAAAAGTCTAGTATTACGTTACTTTGGGGAGGGAGGGCCTTCTTAAGCAAAACAAGAAACCCAACAGTTGTAAAGGAGAAACAATATGCGCAGTTTAGAACATGAAGAACTGACACCCCCAAGAGAAAAGCCGTGGAAGACGAATGATAATGCTGGGCACTGGCCAGAGAGAAGCCACGCTCCATCCTCAGGCAGTGCCGGCAGGGCAGGCAGCGGGTCTCAGGGAGTTGCAGATCGTCAAAATGGAAAAGACCAACGTCACCAAGTATTGGTGTGGGTAAAAGCATAGTTCACAGACAATTGGTGGGACTGAAAATTATTATAAAATTTGGGGAAAGGATTTTTGTCAGTACTTTTTTAAAAAAGATTTTAAAATTATTTTTTAAAGGGAGAGGGAGGAAGAGGAATAGGGAGAGGAAAAAGGAGAAGGAGAGGCAGAGGGAGAGGGAGAGGGAGAAGAAGAGGGAGAGGGAGAGGCAGAGGGAGAGGGAAAAGAAGAGGGAGAGGGAGAGGCAGAGGGAGAGGGAGAGGGAGAAGAAGAGGGAGAGGGAGGGGCAGAGGGAGAGGGAGAGGGAGAGGGAGAGGGAGAGGGAGAGGGAGAGGCAGAGGGAGAGGGAGAGGGAGAAGAAGAGGAAGAGGGAGAGGCAGAGGGAGAGGGAGAGGGAGAAGAAGAGGGAGAGGGAGGGGCAGAGGGAGAAGGAGAGGGAGAGGGAGAGGGACAGGGAGAGAGAGACGTTGATGTGAGAGAGAAACATCAGTTGACTGCCTCCTGCAGGCCCCTCACCAAGGCCAAGTCCAGAACCTTGGCATGTGCAACCTTTCAGTGCAAGGGAGACAATCAACCCACTGGGCCACACTGGCCAGGCTGTCAGTATTTCTTAAAATGAAAAATGCTTTGGGTAGTGGACACACATGCAATCATGTATCATAGACATGCACACTTGAAACCTATATGATCCTGCTAACCAGTGCCACACGGTGAGTTTAGTAAAAAACAAATGTTAAAGTGAAAGTGCTGATTTGAGCAGCGGCGTTGAGTCTGGCCCCTCCTGCTGGCAGTGACGGCATCAGCACGCCAGGTGCTGGCACAAGTCTGCGTCTTACAGCACCATTCCTGACACAAAACCAGAGCAGATATACACAGGGGAAAAGGCTCGGTGTCCACCAGCAGGGAGTAGCTGAGGGAGTTCTGATACCTTCATATGAAGCCAGACACACGCTGCATTTAAGGAGGAAGAAAGCAACGGGGCCTCTCACACATTCAATGGACAAGATGAAAATGTCTCCAGGTGCAAAGTGTGTCCAAGATGTAAAGCGATGGTAACCCTCAGAAACAGCCTGTGGGTGTGATGGTAACCCTCAGAAACAGCTGCTGGGTGTGATGGTAACCCTCAGAAACAGCTGCTGGGTGTGATGGTAACCCTCAGAAACAGCCTGTGGGTGTGATGGTAACCCTCAGAAACAGCCTGTGGGTGTGATGGTAACCCTCAGAAACAGCCTGTGGGTGTGATGGTAACCCTCAGAAACAGCCTGTGGGTGTGATGGTAACCCTCAGAAACAGCCTGTGGGTGCGATGGTAACCCTCAGAAACAGCTGCTGTGGCGAAAATTGGCAGGAACCCCTTAGAAAACAATTGGCAATATCTAGAGAACTTAAAATGTGGTCTAAGATCCTGCAAGTCTCCTTCTAGGAATGCTCCTGGAGTAACTCTCCCAGGAGAGCCCTGGGAGGTCACCAGGAAGCTCTTGGAAGCATGGCGTAGACTGGTGTTTAAGCCGCGGCCAGAGACTCAGAGAGCCCTCCAGTCTACAGCAGGAGAGGGGGAGCACAGTGGAGCATTCATAAAAGGGTACACAGAAGCTAAAACAATGGGTGACACCGTCTGTGTCCACTGGTTGCTCTTTGAAACAGAACATGAGTGAGGAAGGGAAGGCCCAGCGTGGTTAGATTAGCTGGTGCTGGTGGAAGCCCTACACTTCGTTGCTGTGAGTGTGCGGCCGCCCCGGTATGTCCAGTCCCCGTGAGAGCAGGGTGTGGACCGGCCTGTGCCGGGCCCCTGCCTCCTGCCTGGCTGGTCTGACCATGAGGGCTCGCTGAGCTCCCTGGCTTTCTCGCATGGCAGACTCTGCCTAGTTGTTACTTTACTTCCAGACCCCAATAGCACGGATGCCCAATTCCTGTGAAAGAGGAACTCCACGTTGTGCAGACGGCGCAAAGCCATGTTTCCTGAGCGGAAACAGAGGTGGGGAGGGGAGGGCATGAAAAGGGCAAATTAGTGGAAGGAGGAAGAACAACAGAAAGAGATTACATCCATGAAAGAAGCAAACTGTTTCACCAAAAACCCACCTCCCTGGAGCCTGCCAAAGCCCTGCTGCAGTGGATACCCAGCGGACCACCGCTCGCTGGCGAGGAGGTGATCCCAAAGGGCGCGCCATGCAGCACTCCTCCTGCAGGATGTAACTCAGGTCCCATGCTCTTGGGGAAAACTGGATTAAAAAGCAATCAACCCTGGCCCATGATCACAGGACTTCTCAGGGTGCTCCATGCTGTGCAAATTGTGACCCCTCAAGAGGGCTGTGTGATAAAGCTTCCCAGCCGTGTTTGACCATGGGACCAGTGCTCCAGGGCACACTGGGAAATACCAGGTTAAGCAAATGCTGTAAGACTAGAGTATCAAGTCATTATTATCTTAATGAATTAGTGTGGAGCTGCTAAGACTGACTGCCCGTTTACCCAACAGGACGCAAACCAACCTGATTCTCTGGAAGCTGTTTAACAGCATCACCATCTAGGACTCCTTCCTTCGTCAAGGCCAGGAGCAGGTGGAGTGCTCACCACAGGGGCTCTGCCACAGGTGGTTGAAGGGAGGAAAGCAAGGAAAGCTCTTTGTTCTAGGGCTATAC